TTTTTCTAGAATTATTTTTGATCTTATACGAAATTCTTCCTGTTGTTCTTCAGGTAAATTTTGAGTTGTTTCTTCTATACTCGAAATAAAATCAAGTTCTTAAACGGTTTTTGGTGTAATTGAAAAGGTTAAACCTTTAGAAAGAGAACGAGTTTTTTGGTTTCAGTTAATGATTTATCAGATAAATTTATAATTGTTTGGTCCAGAAACTATTTATTTTTTATACTAAAAATGTCTTTTGATTTTTTCGTTGAGTAATTTTTCTAGTTTATGGTTATGAATTTGTTTTTGAATAATAAATTTTCTTGCATAGGTGTTTTATTAACGGAATTACATATATGATTAAAGTCGTCAAAAGAGATTTTGTATCGTAAGTCTTGTTTTATGTCATGTATTTCGTTTTTGAGTTTGATTTTATTTAATCTGTGATATTGAATTCTTTCTCTAACTAAAGCTAGCTACTTGCTCTGTTTAAGATTTTTGTTACTTGTGTATTGATGTCATATGGAGATTTAAGTCGTAAGCCTTTTGGAATAATATTATTATTTTTACATTTATGTAAAAATGTTAAACTGTTTTCAATATAAATTTCAATCCAAATACATAAAACTTCTACACTCTGAATGGGCCCCAAAATAGGTGAACTCTAAATGAGTGAAAACTCATAGAACAACGATTTTCCGCAGCAAACACCACTAAGAAAAAGTGTTAGTAAAAATATTACCTACAAGGTAAGCAAAGTGAAAATACTCCGCCGTAATAGTGATATAATAAGTATCTACACCATCTAGATTATTTTAATGTCTGTAAAATATTTTTTTTTAATTCTAATCAAGTATTATGTATGTAAATAAGTAAGTAAATTTTAGTAAATTACTTACCTAGCTTATTTTTCGTCTTGTTTTGGAACTAAACGCTAAATATAGAACAAGTTACTTTTTCCGCGAGGAGCCGGATAATTGAGCGATCGATCGAAGAACGTGAGGAAATCGAACTAGCAGAAAGCAGTCGAATTATTAGAGCTGCTAGAGTCGATTCAGTGGGCGTACGGCTTTCGACATAATTGTTTCCCCGGGATGAATTTGAAGAAGCTTTGAAGAACCGCATGTCGTACGAGGAGTTCTGAGAAATTTTTTAATTAATTAATTAAGGCCCTGGGAGACACGCATTTAAATGAAAGGAGGTTTAATTGTGTCCCAAACTCGCCCAGAAAAAAATTGAATCGTCTTCCAATGCCGTACTTCGATGGTGATGCTGTCCAGCCAGTTTCCATTCACGCAGAGATCGAAGCTGTCGATGCCAATAAACCAATCGGGCGAAGGCACTATTTTGCTCATCAGCGAAACCTGTAAAAGAAAGTAACAATATGGAAAMTGGTCCTGGCAAAGTGAAAATATACAAAACATTCTACTTGTGAACTGGCAAAGATTGAATGAGGAATCAGCCCGTTTTGGGGGCAAAACTCATTAAAAAAATCAAACATCCGTTTGTTCACATTTGTTCAAACAACCGCAAATTTACTGCATTGTTGGTGTTTGGACTTACCCGCGAATGATTGCCATCCACGAAGAATTCGGCTTCAGTCCGGCCCACCCCTATGTTGATGGGGGGCGCATTGAATTCGTCGTAAACTCCCCCATCACCTTGACTTTGGCCTTCCATCAGGTCACTCCTGCCGGTCTCTGCAAAGGCTTTAACACCCGCCGAAGACTTCATGCCCAACCGGAACAGGATGAACGACTTATCGTGGCTTTTTCCTGAAACAAAACCATTTTTTTTAGTTCTAATCGTGCTTCCCTAAACAAACAAACCAATTAAAAGTAACTGACAGTTTTCCTCGACTAATTGGTATTTACATTATTATACCCGGCATAATGGCACCGCCCCGAAACCCTCTAAGCTAATTCTCGGTATTCGTTCCAATTTAACAAGCAAAAACAGGCGACTTTCCGACTTATTTGTCAAATGGAGTCGCTACAACATTAAGATTGAGCTGGCTGTCGAACTTCTTCTCCCCAGAATTGTTTGCCTCCCTCATTAAGCTCCCAGTGCTCCAATTAAAGCCGAAGAGAAACTAATTAAGGAAACGAATCTGTTAAAACACGTTCAGAAAAATTAATGAAGTGCTTCACTGGCGGTGCACTTGCTTTCATGTGGTGGGTCGGAAGAGGGGAACCGATTCCTGGATAAGAGTGGAATCAAGTGTATTTATATGACATTCATATAGAGTTTTCCGACTGGATTCTGTAAAATTCCGAAACTGAAAGCTCTAAAAAGAGTTTCTGGAAAATGGAGGATAGCGCGCCAGCTTGCAGAAAGCTGCTAAGAATGGTCTGTGATCTATACGTCTTTTAGCTTCTACTGAGTTTACTTCTCCGACAAGCAACTGAAGTTTTATGGATTCTTTATATTTCTCTCTTTTGCTTGCTGGACAGACTTCCTGCTGTATTAAATACATTCTCTTCTTTCCTTCCAGGTGGCCCTACGCAGCTTTCGGTAAGTTTAGCACTACTTTGCCCCTGGTTGCCATGTAGATGTAGAACTTTTAGTCTCATATTCATCAACTGACTCGTTGGATGGGTTTGGGATCGATTGAGCTATTGGTTCTTTCGTAGTTAATTTTTAAAATTCGGGAATATTTTGGGGGGTTTTGCATTCTTACATCAGGATCATCTGAAGCTCTTTGCGAAAGAACCGCTTCAGATATTGAAATTTGGGTTCGCGCATTCAATACAAGACGCACCAGTTGACTGATAGTATGGATTTGGTTCCGATTAAGCTATTGAGTCGTTCACAAGAAATTTGCAAACTTTGGGAATATTTTACGCGGTTTTGTTTTTTTGCATCAAGCTCACCTGGAGCTTTTCTCTAAAGAACTGCTCAGATTTAGAAAGTGGGGTTCCAGTATTAAATACAAGAAGCATCAGTTTACTGATAGTGTCGATTTGGTTCCGATCAAGCTATTGATTCCTTCACAAGAAATTTTCAAACTTTGGGAATATTTTAGGCTCCTTTGTTATTTTGCATCAAGCTCATCTGGAGCTTTTCTCTCCAGAACCGCTTCAGGTTTAGAAATTTGGGTTCTCGTATTCAATACAAGAAGCATCAGTTGACTGTGAGTGTAAATTTGGTTTCGATTAATTTATTGAATCCTTTACACGAAATTTTCAAACTTTGGGAATATTTTAGGCGGTTTTGTTTTTTTGCATCAAGCTCATCTGGAGCTTTTCTCTAAAGAACCGATTTAGCTTTAGAAAGTTGGGTTCCAGTGTTGAGTACAAGAAGCATCAGTTTACTGACAGTGTGAATCTGGTTCCGATCAAGCTATTGATTCCTTCACAAGAAATTTTCAAACTTTGGTAATATTTTAGGCGGTTTTGTTTTCATGCATCAAGCTCATTTGGAGCTTTTTTCTAAAGGACCGCTTCAGATTTAGAAAGTTGGGTTCCAGTATTGAATACAAGAAGCATCAGTTTACTGATAGTGTCGATTTGGTTCCGATCAAGCTATTGATTCCTTCACAAGAAATTTTCAAACTTTGCGAATATTTTAGGCTCTTTTGTTATTTTGCATCAAGCTCATCTGAAGCTTTTCTCTCCAGAACCGCTTCAGGTTTAGAAATTTGGGTTCTCGTATTCAATACAAGAAGCATCAGTTGACTGTGAGTGTAAGTTTAGTTTCGATTAATTTATTGAATCCTTCACACCAATTTTTCAAACTTTGGGAATATTTTAGGCGGTTTTGTTTTTTTGCATCAAGCTCATCTGGAGCTTTTCTCTAAAGAACCGATTTAGCTTTAGAAAGTTGGGTTCCAGTGTTGAGTACAAGAAGCATCAGTTTACTGACAGTGTGAATCTGGTTCCGATCAAGCTATTGATTCCTTCACAAGAAATTTTCAAACTTTGGTAATATTTTAGGCGGTTTTGTTTTCATGTATCGAGCTCATTTGGAGCTTTTTTGTAAAGGACCGCTTCAGCTTTAGAAAGTTGAGTTCCAGTATTGAATACAAGAAGCCCCAGTTGACTGATAGTGTGGACTGGGTTCCGATTAAGCTATCGAGTCTTTCACAAGAAATTTTCAAACTTCGGTAATATTTTAGGCGGTTTTGTTTTCATGTATCGAGCTCATTTGGAGCTTTTTTGTAAAGGACCGCTTCAGCTTTAGAAAGTTGAGTTCCAGTATTGAATACAAGAAGCCCCAGTTGACTGATAGTGTGGACTGGGTTCCGATTAAGCTATCGAGTCTATCACAAGAAATTTTCAAACTTCGGTAATATTTTAGGCGATTTTGTTTTTTGCATCAAGCTCATTTGGAGCTTTTCTCTAAATAATCGCTTCAGCTTTAGAAAGTTGGGTTCCAGTATTGAATACAAGAAGCCCCAGTTGACTGATTGTGTGAATTTGGTTCCGATTAAGCATCGAGTCTTTCACAAGAAATTTTAAAACTTCGGTAATATTTTAGGCAATTTTGTTTTTTGCATTAAGCTCATTTGGAGCTTTTTTCTAAAGAATCGCTTCAGCTTTAGGAAGTTGGGTTCCAGTATTGAATACAAGAATCCCCAGTGGACTGATAGTGTGAATTTGGTTCCGATTAAGCTATCGAGTCTTTCACAAGAAATTTTCAAACTTCGGTAATATTTTAGGCGATTTTGTTTTTTTGCATCAAGCTCATTTGGAGTTTTTCTCTAAAGAATCGCTTCAGCTTTAGAAAGTCGGGTTCCAGTATTGAATACAAGAAGCACCAGTTGACTGATAGTGTGGATTCGGTTCCGATTAAGGTATCAAGTCCTTCTCAAGAAATTTTCAAATTTTGGTAATATTTTAGGCAATTTTGTTTTTTTGCATCAAGCTCATCTGGAGCTTTTCTCTAAAGAACCGCTTCAGCTTTAGGAAGTTGGGTTCCAGTATTGAATACAAGAAGC